AGGGAGAGAGGGAGGGAGGGAGGGAGGGAGCAGACAATGTATGACTCTCACAAATAGACATGGAAGAGAAGCTAAACCTCAGAATTAGTAGGCAACCACTTCTGTTGTAGTCTTGGGATGGAAGTGGGGAGAGAGATGGATGGCTGATCTGGTTATACAAAGTTTCAACAGCAGAGCAGGACGATGCTACCAAGGACAACTTTGCTGTCAGTTAAACGCAGAATCTCCCTATCCATTCCATAATGGAGAGGGACGAGAAGACAGAGACAGAAAGAGACAGGGAGACAGACATAATGGCTACAGGACATCAAAGTGTATTAATTGTATGCAATTGGTGGGGCATGTATTCAACAATCTAGTCCATCAATTTATGTCCCCTAAAACCTAACATCCCCAAACAACAGAATTCTGATCTAACAGGGCTAACATCTGCAAAACATGCTACAATGATTTCCCTGCTAGAAGGAACACAGGCTTTCCTGACCTGGAGTGCTGATTTCTCATCAGAGCGCTGGGCCAGGAGAAGCAATCTGGAAAAGAAACGGATAGTCTGAGGTTGCGACACAGTCTTTCCACCAGCTCTGCTGAAGGCGCTTACTGGATGGGTGGCACCACCATGTTTAATCTGCACTGAATTTATGTTTTTGCCAACAGCTTGCAGAAGCCATCCTCTGATCTTGTGTTGCCCATGCCTCGGGAGTTAGAACTGCCCCGGTATCAGCCCACTTTCCAGTCACATGACTAGACCTGATAAAACTAGCCTCTCTTGGTCAATAAGGAACAAGTGGACCAGTACATATCAGGCACCTTGTGGGGAATGGTCCTTAAAAAAATCACGATTTCTTGTTCCTTTTATCGCTGGTTCTCTGGCTGCACATTAGAACCACTCCGGGAGTTTTAACTCAGCCCTTCCTCCAGAGATTTGTATTTAATTGGCTCAGGGTGTGGCCTGGGCATGGATAGAGGGTTTTTAAAAGCTCCCTTGGTGAATCTAAAGTGCAGTGAAGGTTAAAATCCACTTGTCTTAATTGAATCAGCCCGTGTCTCACAGGGAGCTCGTGAGTGGCCGCAGGAGCACTGCTGGTCACACGGGGCAGTTATCAGAACCAGGAATTCTGGGAAAGCCATCACCCTCTGCTGCTACTGGGGGGAAAGGGTGTCCAGAGCATGAGCAGCACAGTTCACTGAATGTCCATCAGGCTCCAGAGCACAAGTTTGGAAAGAAGAGGCAAGGTCAGGCTAGCGGTTTATGCTGAAAAGGGAAACCATTTCAGAGAAACCAGTTCTTCAGGGGGGAAAACAAAACAAAACTGAGGCATCGGAGAGATGGCTCAGTGGTTAGGAGCCTTTGCCGTTCTTACAGAGGACCCAGGTTCAGTTCCCAGGACCCACATGGTGTTTAACAACTATCCCTACCTCCAGTTCCAGGGGATCCAATGCCCTCCTCTGACCTCCTCATACATCCATGCAGGCAAACAACCACCCACACGAAAATAAAATACATAAATCTATTTCTTAAAGAAGAAAAAAGTTCAAGGTCTTGTGTCTTTCTTCACACCAAGTGTTTGTCCCAGAACCCGAGACCCTGGGTGTCATAGGGTGCTGGGATTCTGTTGAGTTGCTTGGGAAAGTTCCTTAACTTTCATGTTTCCATTTTCTCTTCAATTGGGTGCAAACTGTTCAGGAAAACTGCCAGAAAGCTTCATCCCCTTTGGACAAGAAAATGCTGTGAACATTGCAACCGTGATATTTACACATAGGTTCCTGTCTGCTTTGCTGTCTATGGTATCTATTACCAATGGTCAACTGTGGTCTGAAAAAAACATTTTTTTTAATCCAGAAATAAGCAATTCATTGAGTTTTAAATCACATATGGTTCTGAATAGTGGGACGGAACTGTGTGCTCAGTCTTATTCCATCTCATTTGGGACATAGATATCCCTTTTATCTAGTGTTTCCATGCCGTATACATTGCCTTCCTGTGTGATATCTATTCTTGTTTTCAAATAGGCTATTGGGTTATTACAGTGCTTATGTTCAAATGACCCTTTACAATTTTTGTTTTATGTGTATGAGTCTTTTGCCTACATGATGTTCACTCAAGAGCATGCCTGCTGCCCTCAGAGGCCAGAAGACGGCGTTGAATCTCCTGGAATTGGAGTTACATGTGGTTGTGAGCCGTTATGCAGGAGCTGGGAATTAAACCCTGGTCCCATGAAAGAGCAACAGTGCTCTTACCACTGAGCCACCTCTCCAGTCCTCAAATGACCTTTTTGTGAGAAACAAAGAGACTGCGTTCTTATGCTGTGTGATCATTCATTCACTCATTCATTCACTTTCTGTTTTTGAGTCAGGGTCTCATGTATTACAGGCTAGTCTTGAACTTACTGTGAAGCCCAGGATAACCTTGAACTTCTGATCCTTTGCCTTCATCTTCCTGGTGCTGGAACTACAGGCTGGTGACATCACGGTAGGCTTTGAAGTGCTGGATAGAACCCAAGGTTTGATGCATGGTAACCAAGGACTCTACCAACTGAGCCGTATGCCCAACTCACGCTTTTTTATTTTATTCTCGTTATATATGTACTGAAGAAAATGGCATGTGTAGAGTTGGGTAGATGCATACAATTTGGAAGTTCGTGGACTATGTTAAAATTTTCTTAATTAGACCTCAGTCCCTCCTAACTCCATAAAAGTATTTTACTCCAAATCCAGTCCTGTAGGTTTTTGCTACGTGGGTGGGCTCCACGGGAAGGTTGCTGGAAAGAGGGTGGGATTTGAGAGGTCAGCATCTGAGCAGGAAATAGAGGCAGGAGTCTCCTGAGAGGGCAGGTCAGACCAAGGACCAAGCAATCAGGCAGAAGAACTGTGGCTGTCAAAACATTTTCAAAGGTTCTGCAGAAAATGCCAAGTTTATTGTTGTGCTCCCAGCCACACAAGCCCACGAGAACAGCCCTGTGGGCAGGGAGCAGAACCTGCCTGCCGAAATCCCCTTCTTCAGCAGCCCTTGCCCCATCCCAGATCCAGCAAGTCGCCTCACCTCTGCCTGCCCTCGCCTGTAAAACGCAGATAACAGGCTAACCTCACAGGGCTGGTATGAGGAATAGCTAATAAAATGTGATAGTGACACACCCAATTAAAATGCAAACGGCTGTAAAACAATCAAAAGCATATTTAAACGTTTCCACCACTGGTTGAATGTGTGTGTGTGTGCATGTGTGTGTGCGCGTGTGCGTGCGTGCGTGCGTGTGTGCGTGCATGCGTGCGTGCGTGCGTGTGTGTGTGTGTGTGTGTGTGTGTGTGTGTGTGTGTGTAGGGGGCGGGCAGCGGCAATAGAACAGAGCATTTTTCTTTTCCTCAATGGTGCACATGTCAGTTACTGTCCTATGCATCCACCCTGAGGTAGGCTCTGAGAAGAACAGGGAGAAACCTTCTTGGTTCTCCTAAAATTTGCAGGCAGCCATTCCAAAATGCATAAACACCATTAGGAAAGATTTTAAGTCACAGGCCTCTTTCTTTTCTTCTCCTTATACAGTATTTACCAAACTCAGCTGCAATGGGGGATGCTGGGAGAGTCAGGAGACACAGCACTCACTACATCTGAAGGGCTGCAGATCTCATCTCATAGCGGGCACCATTCAGCTTTATTTCCTGTGTGTTTCTTTTCTATTTTGTTTTTACTCTCTTTTTTCTAGGTTCATCTATGTTGTCCCAATGGAGAGGTTCCTGGCTTTCCTCCTTTCTAAATGTTAAATTAGTATTCTATCACATCCACATGAACACACACACGCACACATACAAACATATAAACACACATGCATGAACACACACGCACACATACAAATACACACACAAGAACACACACATTAAAACACACACACATTTACACATTCCTTTATCCATTCATCATGAAACAGACATTTAGGTTGTTCATATATCTTGACAACTGTAAAAAATGCCTCTGAGCAAAGCAGCGCGGATGTGTCTGAGATACTGATGTCTTGTCCTTTAGATGCATGCCCAGAGGTAGGCTTGCTGGACCTTACCATAATACTGTTTTTAATCTTTTAAGGAACTCTTGTACTGTTTTCCATGCTGGCTATAGCAATGGATATCCTACCAATATTATTCAAAGGTCCCTTGAACATACTTGCCAACATTTGTTGCCTTAAAAAAAGAAAAATCAATCCTAACGGGAATGAAGCAGCACCCTCTTTGTGGCATTTCATGTGTTAGTGCCTGGGTCCTTTGATGTGGTATGTTTTCCCTTCCATATTGCTGTATATGTCAAACATGCATTTCTTTTAGGGGCTGAGTAGTATTTCCTTGTGTGAGTATAAGGCAATTTTGTTTATCCATTCATTATGAGTGGGCATTCAGTTTGTTTCTGGGTTCTGGCTGTTATATAATTATATAGTATAATAATGTGATTATTATATTGCATATAATAATAAAGTTGATGTAAATGTTCTTATGCAAGGATTTCTGGGGAAAGGCGTCTTCCATCTCTTGGGAAAATATTTAAGAGAGGGAGGTTGGCTCAGATTGAGGCATATTTTTACTTTTATAGGAAAAGGACAGGATTTTTACACAGTGGCTGTGCATCATCACATACCCCCTCCAATAACATACAATGCCACCTATACCAGCCCAGTTTCTGATAAAGCCCTGGGTCCCCTCGGGCACCTCATGAATCAGGCCTTCACTACTCTATTTCTCTCGGCATTCCTGGCTTACCAGCTCCCACCAGAATGGCGCATTATACTCTGCCTACTGCATTCAAGGGCTTTTCCAGCCCATGATGCCAAATTCTTTCACATTCCTGCTGCAAACCAATTCTAATGGCCTAAGAGCCACATGGTTAGGTTTATCACAGCAACTACCCCACTTTTGAGTACCCCATTTCCTGCATTAGTTACTTCTGTTGTTGCTGTGAGATAAGGCCCCGAGAAAGTCAAAATAGGAAGGCTTAAGGCTCTTGCTTCAAGGGTATGGTCCACTACGACAGCGTTGGCAGGAGCTTGAGGTCATTGGTCACGTTGCGTCTGCAGTCAAGAAGAAAGGGGAGGTGAATGCTGTCCCTCAGATCACGTTTTCCTTTTTCTTCAGTCCAAACCAAGTCCATGGAATGGTGCTGCCCATAGAATGAGTCTTCCTCGTGTCAGTCTAGCTTAGGGAATCCTTCATGGACGTGAAGTGGCTTCTCCACAGTGGTCAAGTGGTAGAACTGTGGTAGGCGGGACCTGGTGGGAGGAAGTAGGTCACAGTCTCTGCTTAAACTTTCAACCCCCAGGATTCTGCAGGACGTCTTTCGTCTTGTCCCTTACCCTCATTCTTCTTCCTCCCCGTGTGTCCTTTCCAGCTTCTGACTGCTGCATACACTCCGTGTCGAACACATAAATCGAAGTTTGCAGGACGGGGTCACGTCTACACTGTGTTGTCATTATCTAGGAGTATATCTTCCTATATGGGAAAATCACATTGAAATACTGAAGGTGCTGAAGGCTTGGGCTAGCAGCTCACCTTCAAACCACTAAGGGGGAACATTCTTTGTCATTCTTATAAAATGACATTATTTGATTTTACTAAGCCATATAGAGTAAAAAGCAATTGAAAGTTCATAGCATAGAAGGATAGAGTCAGAAACTTGTAAAAACGCCTAGGTACTTACCTACCTTAAGGTGGGTTCTGGGAGGAATGTGCCTAAATGTCTCAGAATATACTTTTTAAAAAATATTTTTTTATTTATCATTTTGTCTCTCTCTCTCTCTCTCTCTCTCTCTCTCTCTCTCTCTCTCTCTCTCTCTCTGTAGGTCAGATAACAATTTGTAAAAGTCAGTTCTTACCTTTCACCATGTGGTAAGTGACTCTGCCCCCTGAGACATCTTGCTGGCCCTCATGATATACTTGATACGTGTTTTACCTTTACAATCACTCAGAAAGTAAGATCGGTGTCTGTGCTACAGATTACTGGGTATCCCAAACATCTGAGGTAGTCATAGAATTAAGAAGCAGTGCTCTGAAGTGGGAAAGGATGCTCAATCTATAGGATTATAGGAGGGTGGTTTTGTTTTGTTGTTATTGTTATTTGTTTGTTTTTGTTTTTGTTTTTTGAGACAGAGTTTCTCTGTGTAACAGCCCTAGCTGTCCTGGAACTAGTTCTGTAGACCAGGCTGGCCTTGAACTCACAGAGATCCTCCTGCCTCTGGCTCCTGAGTGCCGCCACCATTGCCCGGCTACAATCAGGACTTATTAAAGGCATCCTAGGTGCTTTCCCTTAACCACACTAGACCTAATTTTGGCCCAGTATCTGTTGCCTTAGATAGCTGCCTGAAACTGTAGAATCTCTAAGAGTCAGAAAGCACCTCAAAAACTATAAACTGTCAGAGCTAGAGAGATGGCTCAGTGGTTAAGAGCACAGACTGTTCTTCCAGGGGACCCAGGTTCAATTCCCAGCAACTATGTGGCAGCTCACGACTGTCTGTAACTACAGTTTCAGGAGACCCGACACCAGTGCACATAAAAAAAATTTTAAATGCTGTAAATCATTTCCAACCAAAGAAAGCTAGGACTGGTGCATACATACAACACAGTCCAAAACACACATTTGATAAGACCATGTCCTCAACAGGTGTTAACAACCTGCTGAGGAGAAGTGATGAATCAATGCACAGGAAAGGCAGCGTCAATTATAAATTCCCAACCCAAGTAACCCACTGTCACTTACCTCTCAGTTTGTGCATCTCAGCTTTCTTCTAATCACTATTCTAGGCCCTTGATAATTCCTTTTTTGGATCCCCACTTGGATTTTTATTGTAGTGATGTATAACATAAAATGCACCGCTTCCTCATCCCTAATGCACCTTTGGTTGCATAAGTAAGTGCATACTGTACAACCCGCACCACCATCCCTTTCTAGAACTCTGCCTTTCTTCTCCAGAGGAAGCTCTAGGCACTAAACACTAATCCCCTGCTTCCTGCTCTCTGACTCCGGGCTATACCTTCCTGTCTCTGTGAATCTGATCACCTTGTACAAGTGGAATCAAACACTGTGTCTTTTTGTGGCCACAGGGATAAGATACGCGACGTGTGTTCGAGTTCTCATTCCCTACCCCTCTTCCCCTTTGTCCCTCCCCCGGACAGGAACCAAGGTTTCAATATCAAGTCCAAACAGCAGGACTCAAGCTGACCTTAACCTTGAATTCAATTTCCTCCTGCCTCAGCCTCCTAAGCCCTGGCACTGATGGCCAGCAGTTTTCTGCTTCTTCAGATGTGAATAATATTCTATTGTTGGTCTCTATCACATTCCCTTTGTCCAGCCCTACAATAGGGTTGAGTCGATAGGCTCTTGGATTGCCTCTGCCTTTGGGATATTGTAAACGATGCTGCTCTGAACATGTGTGTGCAAATATGTGACAGAGTCCTTGCTTGAGGATTGAAAAATAGATAGATAGATAGATAGATAGATAGATAGATAGATAGATAGATAGATGATAGATAGATGATAGACAGATAGATAGATAGATAGATAGATAGATAGATAGATAGATAGATAGATAGATAGATAATAGACAGACAGATAGATAGGGAGAGAGAGAAATAGAGGTAGATAGATAAAAATATGATAGATAGATAGATAGATAGATAGATAGATAGATAGATAGATAGATAGATAGATAGATAGATGGATGGATGGATGGATGGATGGATGGATGGATGGATGGATGGATGGACGGACGGACGGACGGACGGACGGACGGACGGACGGACGGACGGACAGACAGACAGACAGACAGACAGACAGATAGATAGATAGATAGATAGAGCAGAAGTGGATTGCTGGATTGGGGGCAGTTCTACACTTCATTTTGAGTAATTACTGTACAGTTCTCCACAGGCAAAGACCATTTCCATTCTCCTCAGCAATCTGTGAGTGCCAAATTCTTCACACCCTCACCACCACTTGCCCTTTATAAACAAACAAAACCCCAAAGTCGCTGCTTATATAAGGTTTTTGGGTTTTCTTAATAGCCATCCCAACGATGACTCAGGGAAATTTTTAAATGCCACTGTTACGAGTTGAACTATTTTACTATCCAAAAGATATGTTGAAGTCCTGACCCCTTGGTACCTTGATATAAAACCTAAATTGGAAATAGGGTTGTTGCAGGTGTAATTAGTTAAGATTCAGTCATACTGGAGTCGAGAGGGCCCCTCATCCAATATGGCTGCCACCCTGACGAGAAGACGCATGTGAGAACAGGGACACACAGAAAGAATGGCAGGTAACAGTGCCGCCACAGAGGAGCCGTGTGGCCACAAGTAGGGAATGTCAAATAGTGTCAGCAAACCACCGGAGGCTGGAAGATGGCAAGAAGGATCCTCCTATAGGTTTCAGAGAGAGCATGGCTAATACCTTGAGTTTTGCCTCTCAGCCTCCAGAGCTCTCAGGTAATGTGTTTCTGTTGCTTTGTGTGTATAGTGTGTGTGTGTGTGTGTGTGTGTGTGTGTGTGTGTGTGTGTGTGTGTGTGCAGTTGTGCATGTCTGTGTGCACATTCAGAGGCCAGAGAGGGATGCCGAGGGCTCCACTCCGTCACTTTATCTTACTCCCTTGAGACAGGGTCCTTCACTGAACCTGAAGCTTCTCCTCATTTTGCCGAGGCTGGCTGGCCAGCAAGCTCACAGGATCTGCCTGTCCCATACTCATGTGTGGCCATTGCCAGGCTTTTAAGTGGGGGCTGGGGTTCAAACTTGGGTCCTTATACTTGCACAGTGAGCGCTGTCAGCACAGAGCCCTCTTCCCATCAACCACCCAGTTTGGAGACTTTTGTTACAGCAACCCTAAGGACTGGGTTCCTCCACGTGACCTTTGAAGCCTACTCGCTCTAGAGCTTCTCCCCTGGTTCTCAGAGAGCCTGCTTCTTACACCTCTGCCCTTCCCTTCTGCCTTCTGCCCCAGCTTGTGCCCAAGGCCTCCATCCAACCAAGATCTAGTGACATCCTCCCCTATGCTGGTCCTAGAGCTGGGGATGTCGGCGGCTCGGTTTTCTCCTGCATGGATAAGTTTGGGTGTTTTTCTTTAGCGTGGCATCTACCTTGTCAGAACATTTGAGGAAAGTGTGGCATATCTCTGCCGTTTTTTTTTTTTTTTTTCTACCCTCATTTCCAAACTCCAAAGAGAACCCCTTCCGGCTTTAGCCTTGTTTTAGAACTTTCTCGAAGAAAACGGCACTTCTAATTTCGCAGTCTCATTTCATCTGACGGAAATTGCAGCATGCTAGAATTATGGAAATGGCTTCCATTATAACCCACATCTTCACCTCAAACACGATGTGCTACAATTTTGTGCGTGCTTCGATCAGTATTTGTGTGTGCTGGGGTGTGAATGATTTGCAAAATTGATGTTATTAATTTTTATTGCCCCTTTTAGCTCTCTGGCTGGCTGCTAACCTGCGGTCGGGTGGCCCCTTCCTTGCAGAGTCAAAGTGCTTGCCCAAAATCTTCCCAGCTGATTATCTATCTGTTAGGAGCAGCAGTGAAAACATGGAACTCGGGTAGGGCGAGCAGGACCAGCTGTGCGGGGGAACCGCCCGGGTACCGAGCCAAGGCTTGGATGTCTGCAAGTATCCCCTCTGGACACGAACCACGTGGTGAAGCTGTCTGCGCTGAGTCTGGGCGCCAATCTCTCAGTGCATTTTCAGTGAGTCCCTAGCTGCCTCTTTTGCCTACTACGATCTGAAAGCCCCTGGTGTGATGGTTCTCTGTTATATTAACCCCTACCACGGCACAGATGTGAAGGCTTTCTGTCATTTCCTTCAAAGCACAGTGCTCACATTGAGCTTAATTCTACTGCTGTCAGAAGATAAAGATTAATTCACAGTTGCCATGATGTAGCTGCAATAAGCAAGAGAGAGAGGCATTTTCACTTTGCAGAAGGGTCGGTAGAAACCCTGCACACACCTGAGTAAACAAACTCCGAGATTCTGATAGATTTGCCTAAGGCCACACATCTGGGGCAAGAAATCAGGGCCCTGACCCCTGTGCCGGGCCCTTTCGCCCGAAGACTCTCTGCAGTGGAACCCACTGAACACACAGCACACAGGTAAGACGGAGGGAAATGGGCCATGGAGATCTGTTTCTCTTCAGAGTCTGTTCCCAGCTCTCGGGAACACTCTTCCCTCCCATCTCAGATGGGACATGTCCTTTATTTCCAGGACTCAAGCGCAAGTCCTAAGAGGTCACCGGTCAGGAGATTGCTCCCAGGCCAGAGCTCCTGCCAGCTGTCTCTAGGGCTAGTCTGACCTTCTAAAGGGTGCTGGATCCTTTGAAGCCCAAACTAACGATTAAAACTGACACTCTGAACTGAGAAATAATTATTTTCATATGTGAACATGGGAGAAAAAAATGTAGGTAGTGACGACAATGAGCAAATGCAGGCCGAAAAACACCATCTTCTCCCTGCCAAGAGGATTCTTTCGGGATCCTCTCATAGTTTCCGTGTATTTCTACAGCAAAAGAGCTCCAGGCGAGTTAACTAAAACAGAGGAAATAACATTTAAAATTTGCTAAAATACGACTCGGATTTATAGGCAGCATGTCCAAATGCTATGCTTCCGTCTTAGGTCTCCTGGAATCTGCACTGTGCTCTTGCAAGTTCAAAGTGTGTGCGTGATGTGTGCATAAGATGTCAAGGCCACAATGAATATTTAATATTTGTGCCTGCCTTTGCAAATTACATAGTTATCAATGCTTATCTGATACAGGATCAAAGCAAGTGACTGGCTCAGATGGGATTTGCCTCCTCCATCCTCACAGGACTGGCTCTCACCTGGCCAGTTGCTCACTGTTGGTGAAAGTTGCTGGTGACAAGAATCAGATATGGTCCTCGCAGTCTGTTCTGCCTAACACGCTGTGCACTCGTAACTGCTGTCTAGGGGTAACCAGGTCAACTCTTTTGACAGTTTCTCACTCCCACTCTAAGAACGTCATAAGGCTCGACTTCCAGTCTCTATAACATTCACACGGCTGCTCCTTTTTCCAAAGCAGGACACCAAGCAACAACCCAAGCCATATACATACTCATACACATAAATGTCGTAGAATATTATTTCAGGGTGTGTTACTTTTGCTTATGCTCTGGAACGTCTTTTAATGATGCAGAGATGTGTTTGATTAAATAAAATTCACCTGCGGTCAGGAGGCTGAGTCAGCAACTAGCTGACAGGAAGTGGTAGGGAGGAGCCAGGTGGAGAAAGGGTCTGTAAGGAGGAGACAGGAGCAGGGAGAGAAGATTCCTTCTCTCCGGCCACTGTCAGCCATTTGCAACTTAGACCCTCTTCTCCTGGCTCACACAATTGGAACATCCACTGCTCTGGAACATCCCTCTAGACTCTGACCCCTGTCTTCAGAATTTGGCTTTGACCTCACCTCAAGAAGACCTCTCCACTACTCTGCAGGTCGTGTGTGTGTGTGTGTGTGTGTGTGTGTGTGTGTGTGTGTGTGTAATCCCTACACATTTTAGAGTCTTAAGAATGGTCATTTGCCTTATGGTTCAAGTTCCCAAAAGGTAGAGAGAATACTTGTAGCTGCGTTTATTCATAGTGTGGTGTCTTCCAGACTCTAGAACAGCAGTTCTCAACCTGTGGGTCGTGACCCTTCTGTGGGTTGACTGACCCTTTCACAGGGGTCACCTAAGACCATCAGAAAATACAGATATTTACATTACAATTCATAACAGTAGCAAAATGACAGTTATGAGGTAGCAACAAAAATACTTTTATGGCTGGGGGTCACCTCCACACGAGGAACTGTATTAAAGGGCCACGGCATTAGGAAGGTTGAGAGCCACTGCTCTAGAACATGAGACCTGGTAACAAATTCATTTTACATCATGGCTCAGTGCACACAGTCTTTCTACACATACCTTTAGAGTCTCATCAAACTGCCCAGCTTTACCTCTGGGCCACGTTCGCTGATATTCGCCATTCCGTTTTTATTTTTCTATTTCTTCCTACATTGATGTCAGGGTCCACTAGTGGAACCCCATCCGTAGTCTGGAACCTTGCTACCAGGAACCCAACCCACCCTGACATCTGCTCAGTGTTAACCAGCTAACGAGAACACCTTTGGTCATTTCCTCTAAGGGTTCTCAACCTCCACCTGCCTCTCCAGTCTGGCTCCGTAAGGAATAAATCAGAGACCAGGACAAGCATAATTCTCTGATCTCGGATCCTTCTGGAGTCTGTCTAGTCCCCACTTAAAGAACTTCACTAGACTCGGATCCTCTTCATAGGAAATGATTTACATTTGAAAAAATAAAAAGATGAATGTCTGTTTTCTTTGCACAGTATATTACTTTCTGTGATTCAAAATTCTTTTCACCAGTAAAGGTCACCTTGTGATTTATGCATGGCATCTGAGTATGTTTTGTTGAAAAGGGTGTCACTCTCAAAACATTCATGGGGCTTGCAAATAGATGGAAAAACAAAACAACAGAAAGCCACGAAACTTAGGAACTGCTTAAAACAGGGTTGACAAGAATAATACCTCTTTGTGCAAAGAGGTTAAAAAACACCAGACTTCCCTGAACAATGAACCCAGCCCACCTGACTCTGCCTAAGAAAGGGAAAGATTCCCAAGGAATACCTGAGCAGGTGCACAGGGCTTGGACTTGGTGATCCCTGTGAGGTACAAAATGTTTTATACAAAATTTTGAGAGAGAAAAAAAGCATCAAATATGTTGTGAACAAAGGCAAAAAGAGATGTTTGTCCTGGAGACACTGATTGCCCCTTACAGAGAAGTAAGAGATCTGTGGCCATTTTTCCTCTCTAGTATAGTGGATAGCACTTCCGGTACAGGATCTTACCACCTCAGTTTACATCCCGCTTCCTAGCAGATGTGTGACTCTGCGTGAGTGCTGAGTCACTTAGCTTTGGGTGAGTGTTTGCTCATCTGCAAATTGCAAAGCTCTGAGGCAGCTCTGAGGCAGAATTAATGCGAGGAGAACGCAGAGCAGCTATGGCTTGGATATATATAACGTGAAGATCAACGTGAGCATTTATTAAATGAACTACCTAAGTCACGGTGAAAACAATTCCTCTGCCCTCCAGTTCAGGGCACAGGAAATACAAATCAACCGTAGAGCAAGCCTGGGCTTCTCTCTTCGCCGTCTTTCCTCTGCCTGGGCAGCCATCCCTTGCCATTAACAGTTGAGCGGCACAGTGATCACCATACAAGATCTCCCTGGATGCAGACCTCACTACTCGGGACTTGGTGGGAAGTTTTTCCAGCTTCTCATTGCAAAATGCAGGTCTTCCTTCCTCTCCAAGAGGAACCCTCAACAGAAACAGGGCTGCTCTCTTTAGAAGAAAGCATAAAAAGGGTACCGGTGGAAGAAATGCCAAAGCAAAGCACCCTACATGTAGTCAGAGTCCAGGGGCAGCATCACTCACTGAAGTAATGGTCAAGAAGGTTCGAAACCGGAAGTACAAATGCTGAATAAAAGCAAACCATCGGAGCTGCCAAGGAGCAAACAAGGGTTAGTAGATATCCAAGAACCTCAATGGCCGCTGCCCAGGCTCCACAAGCAGGCCACTTAGCAGACTGCAAAGCCTGTGAAGGTTTCTGCGCCCCAAGTTGGTGGAAAATGCTAATCTGGCAGATCAGATATTAAATAAAGATCTACCCAAAACTCTAACATAATAAAAATAAATAAATAAAAGATTGTCTGTTGCTCATCTGGACATAGTTTTGATGTCCAGGGAGATGATGCATGGAGACTATCCATGTGAAGAACAGCCAGCCACTTAAAAGTAAGCCGAGGATGGTATCTCTCATCCTAGACGGCGGTAGAAAAAGGGAAATGTGTGAAATACACAAACCAGAGCTGCTGGTGATATCTCAGGGCCAGACATGCCTGGAGGACCACCCAGTATCAACTCAGCAAGAGAAGGTCAGGGAGGCTAAACTCAGTCCCCTGGGAATATCAGCGTACCAGACAAAATGTGGGGGAAAATAGTTAACAGCCACAGGGGCAAAAATGGCTGTAAAAAAACAAAAAACTGGTTAGCTAAAGCTGGCACAAGTGAATGATTATATGTGCAAAAGTCAACTGAAGGGTTAAGATTAAAAGCAAAGGGAAGAGCCCGGTAAGTATGGTCCCAGCTAATCACCTAGGAGCTAAGTAATGCATCTCATTTTCTTTCTTTCTTTCCATGTGTAACCCAGGCTGGTCTTGAACTCACAGTCCTCCTCCCAAGTGCTGGTAACATGCTTAGCTACATGGTCTCTAAAATAAAAATAGAGGGGCTGGAGAGGTGGTTCAGCCGTAAAGAGCACGGACTGCTCTTCCAGAGGACCTGGGATCAGTTCCCAGCACTCACATCTAACTCCAGTTCTAGGGGATCTAATGCCTTTTGGCTTCCTTGGGCACTGCATGCACACACATAGACATACATGCAGGCAAAACACCAACACACATAAAATAGAAATAAATCAATCTCTGGGGGAAAAAAGTAGAAATTAAAATGGGAGTCTGGGTTTAAGGAAGAGCACACATTGTTCTTAGTTTCTTGGAACTCTGGATACAGACACATTATATGGGCATATATGTATACATACTAGTGTATATCCATGGGTGCTCGTATCCAACATACATAGTTCCTATCTATACGTATATAAGAACTTTCTCCTTTTCATTTTTAAGCTCTTTATTTACTTCACAGTCCTGGGAGTTGAACCCAGAGCCTCACATGCATGCTAGGCAAGCCTTCCTACCACTGAGCTGCCCGCCTCCCCCCCCCCCGCCAAGTCCGTTAACAAGTGAGACCCAGAAGTGAAAATGTCAGCGGTACCAACTGCCTAGACACACTAAACTAGACAATAAGCCACACCCTGGACAACAGAGATTATCTACCAACTGGAGCCTCCACTCTTGTTCCTGAAGATAACTGGCTTAAACAATCACAAGAACGGGCGGGCGGGAGACCGAACAGGGCCCCTCCCCACACCACCACCATTGGGGCTGTGAACACCACGGATCCCGGGGAGGCGCTGCGACGTCGGCTGCAGTTTTGAGGCAGTGGCCAACACGCAGCCCTGGCCAGGTGGAGCTCCTGGTTTCCCGAAGGCTCTCTGCCACGTCTCACGAGTGCAGCCCCCCGCGGGTGTGCGGCGGTGTGGGGCGCAGAAGGATGGGCACAGCCGGCCCGCTGGCCTTTCAAGGTCAACTCTGCCCTGGATGCGGCTCTGGGAGGAGAGGAAGTTGGCTCATGGCTGGCTTGCTTTTGGTTTCTGTTCTCCCTCCTTTTCCTCCCAGACCTGCACAAATCTCACCCTGGCTCCGTTCCAGCCTCCTTGTGTGTGTCTGTTTTCATTTTCCAGTCTCACCCCCGTCTTCCTCCCTCAGCATCTTCTAGATCACTTCTGCGCATGTCCCTTTCCGGTTCCCCTTGTCTCGGTCTGCTTTTCTTCTTATTCAGGGCCTCTTCCCAGACACTTCTCCTTCTCCCAAATGCAGCTGCTGCAGTTTCAGAATCACTCAGGTTAGGGACAGCAGATAGGAACAGTGGACAGTTTCTCCAGTGCTGGAACAGTGCGGGGTGGAAGGTGGTGAGCTTCTAGATAGTGGTGGGTGACTACTAAGAGGAGGTGTCTTGGTCTGTTCACTGTTCTCATGACTAAGTGCCACAGAGTAGGTAATTTTGTGTGTGTGTGTGTGTGTGTGTGTGTGTGTGTGTGTGTGTGTGTGTGATGTGCGTATGTGTGTGTGTGTGTTTGCATGTGCATGCGAGGCTGGGGTCCCAAAGTTGGGAACCTTGCTCAACCCCTCTCCCCGTTTCATTGAGGCACTGGCTCTCAGCTGAAGCCAGAAACTTACTCAAATAACTAGCCTCACTAGCTAGCTTGTTTCAGGAATCCCCTGTCTCCATATTCCCACGCTGGAATTACAACAGAGTCACTGCTCCTGCTCAGCATCTGAACTCCGGTCGTTTTGCTTGAGTGACACACTTTAACTAAAGAGCCACCTCCACCCAACCCGAACCCCTTTTTTGAGACAGTCTCTCATTGGCCTGGAGCTCAACAATTAGACTAGGCTGTCTGGCCAGTGAGCTCCAGGGCTCCGTCCCCAGGGGTCCGTCCCCAGGGGTCCGTCCCCAGGGGTCCGTCCCCAGGGCTCTGTCCCCACTGCCTTGCCAGCACTGGGCCACCACGCCTGGCTTTTTCACTTGGGGTCTGAGATCTTCACACTTACAAGGTTAGTGCTTTAGCATCAGAATCATCATCCCCTCCCTCCCCCCCCCCCCCCCCCCCCCCCCCCCCAGTTCCCAGGATTAGTAGTCTTTGATGAATGAAGCTTTATTTAGCTCAAGACACTGGGAGCTGGGAGCGACAAGGCAAGAGCCTTCTTGTTACTGAGGAGAGGTGAGCATGCAAAACAGAGACTAACTGACCTTTCTGACAGACCTGAGCTAGAGATTAAGTCATTAACCCGTCACGGCCTGCCAGGGTAATCTGATCATCAGGCATAGTCCTCGTGGTGACCTAGTCACCTCCTAAAGGATTCTCTCGTTCCCTCAGATGGGTGCCTCACACTGGGGATTCAACTCCACCGTGAGTTTTGGTAAGGGCACTGGAAATGGGAAAAGAATCTCCATCATTATACTCCCAGGAGTCAGGCACTAAAGCCGCCTGCCTGCCTTCCTTGACTACTGACTGCTTCCCATCCAGTTGTCCTTACCCATGATGGTCTGGTCATTTTCCTCCACTACCTCATTGCCCTACCCGATGATCCCTTTAAAACTCCTGTGACTCTATTAGAACAATCCAGGAAAACACTCCTACATCAAGAGTCTTAATAAAGTCCCCCCTACAGACTTGCTGATCCTGTAAGGTTACACACAGGTTCTGGAAATGAAGATGCCGCTGTCTTTTGCAGAGGTCACTCTTCAGTTCTTTTAAAACCACAAGGGGAAAAAAGCAAAGCTTTAGGTAGAAGAAAGGAGTCTAAGAATACTTGTATATTTCTTAAAGATTTCTATTTTGGTTTTTATGTGTGTGTATCTATGGGTGTATGTGTACATGCCTGCAGGTGCCTATGGAGGCCAGAAGAGGACATCAGATCCCCTGGAGCTGGACTTGTAGGGGGTTGTGAACCCCACTGAGCCTTCTCCAACCCCCAATGTACTCTGCTTGTATTATCTGAAAAAAATACGATTTTTAGGAATATGGAAGTCTCCTTAAAGTGAAACCGCCGGAGTCTCAGTGAGGCCCGTCAGCATGTTCCTGCACTGTGGCTGAAACCACTAAAGAATGTTGCAGTCGGGGCTGGAGAGAGGGCTCAGCATTTGAGAGCACCTGGGTTCAACTCCCAGCACCCACGTGGCAGCTCACAACTGTCTGCAACTCCTGTTCCAGGGGATCTGACACCCTCACACAGACATGCATGCATGGACATACATGCAAGCCAGACACCAATGTACATAAAATACAAATGATAAAAAGAATGTTCCAGTAAAGGGTGCACACACTCCGGAAGCACAGGACCCAGGCCCTGGCCCCAACCTGGTCATGGATAGATCAACCTGGACAAGGTCTCATTCAGGAAACATTGGGTTGATGGAAACCCAATGTTTCCTGAATGAGGAGGCTGCAGCGGCTGGATAATGATTGGGTTTCCACCAGATAGAACTGAGTTCACAGTGGAGTTCATTCATTCATTACCAAAGTGACTATGTACGTTAACCTCTGCGAGCATCAGTCCTTGAAGAGGAGGATAGCGTCTCCCGTCTCACAGGACTGTGGGGAAAGATCAATGGCCTGGCCGATTCAAAGTGTCCATCACAGTGGCAAGGAGAATGCTTAGGAAGCAGCTGCTGTCCTGGCTGCTGCTTTCGCTCCTTTAATATTACTCTCACAGTTACCAGTGCACTTACTGAATATTGATCATTAGATTTCTTAATCCATGTCATTCAAACCACGGAAGCTATTGAATAATTTTCAATTTGAAAAAAAAAATCACGTCTGTGAGGTTTCATAATTTCATGGGTTGCGTTGGTTCCCGATAACAGTAACCTTGACCAAAACAAAAGTGAAAACACTGCAGCAGACAGACAAACACTGCAGCAGTCAGACAAACACCATGGTAGACAGAAGGTTAGTCTCACTCTTTGGTGACTATTGCCTAATCACTGGATCTTTTTTTTTTTTTTCTTTTTTGTTCTTTTCCCAGACAGGGTTTCTCTGTGCAGCCCTGGCTGTCCTGGAACTCCCTCCCGAGACCAGGCTGGCCTCGAACTCTGCCTGGGATTAAAATTGTGCGCCACCACTGCCCGACTATCATTGGATTTCTGTCAGACCAACTGACACTCTGGGAAACAAGAGTCATTCTTTCCAGTTACTTTTCTAGGGTCTAGAGTGATGCTATTTAGTGCAGTGGATATCCAGGTTTGGTTATGTGACCTTAAATTTAAAATGTATTTTTATTTTACGTACATTGGTATTTTGCCATGGGTATCAGATTCCCTGGAACTGGGGTTACAGACAATTGTGAGCTGCCATGGGGCTACTGGGAATTAAACCTGGGTCCTCTGGAAGAACAGTCAGTGCTCTTAACCACTGAGCCATCTCTCTAGCCCCTTAACTTTAAATTCAAGTCCTCAACTGTAGCAACTGCATTTCAGGTACAAAAGAGCAGTAATATGACTAGTGGTTGCCATATTAAATGTGGCATGTGGCTAGTGTTTGCCATATTGAATGTGGCATGTGGCTAGTGGTTGCCATATTGAATGTGGCATGTAGCTAATGGTTGCCATATTGAATGTGGCATGTGGCTAGTGGTTGCCTTATTGCATGTGTGGATCCAATATGGATCTCTATCATCTCCATATCACCATCACCTCAGAATGTTCTACTAGATACTACAGATATACAACCCATGTAAATAAATCCAATTATTATTTAATATAAATCTAACTTATCACAGAGAAACTATAGAACGAGACAGTTCGGTGGATGTTTCTTGAAACATCCAGTTTTACCTCTCCTTTCATTTCAATTAGATATGTTTTATTCTTTGTTATGAGTTTCTTATGGGCCAACCTTCATGTTTTTGTGTGAATGTGAATTCTATAGATATGCTTATATGACAAGTACCTACCCCTCACAGGTAATTTAGGGGTGATATTAACAAACACAGGAAGCAAATATGCCTAATGAAATGCTTTTCTAATTAATTGTGACTTCTAAAGGTTTTTTATTGCAACTCACAGGTAAAATATGTTTCATATTGCAATCTAACACATACAAACACAACTGAGAAAATCATACACTGACAATGGCCCCTACTATATGCCATGAATTCTGACTGTTTTCTGTAAGAGCTTTCTATCTGCTCTTGCTTCTTCTTCTCTTCTTCCCCTCTTCCTCCTCCTCCTTTTCCTTCTTCTAGTGCTGTTATCTAGAGCACCGGGCTGGTGGGGTTTTTGTTGGTTTGTTTCACAAAAGGGATTAACCAGAGTTTGGATAGCACTTCTCAGCAGCCAGGGTGGTGTGATAGGTAATCTCAGCTGTCAACTTGGTGAGCTGTAGAATCACCTGGGACACCGCCTCTGAGCATGCTTGTGCAGGATTTTCTTGATTAGATTAAACTGGGGAGGAAGACCTGCCTACGGTGGGTGGGACCATTCCCTGGGCTAGGATGCTGGACTGAATGAGGAGAAAGCGATCTGGGAAAAATCATTCCCTGAAGTGTCTGTGACCAGACACTCCAAATCCTGCCCCTTTGGCATCCCAGCCAGGACGGACTGTATTCTCAAACTGCAAACCTAAACAAACCCTTTCCCCTTAGGTGGCTTTTGTCAGGCTATTTTGTAACAGCAACAGGAAAAGTAACTAAAACAGTCAGCAAATTCAACTCTTTATAGAGAGTGGGCAAATGAGTGAAGAGCATTGTGTGGGGACTGTGAGAAGATGGAGAGGCCACGGCCTTTGGAAGACTGCAAAATAGTTCACTGCTGGTGAACTTTGAATACGAGACATCAAGCATCCATTTCTGTGGTACTCTCCCATTTTTTGAAGCGTGGCAACAAATTCTTAAAAGTTATGAACCCACACAGACACATAAATTATGAACACATCCACTTACCAGCCAAAGCCAACTACTCGCTCAGCTGACATTGGTCTGAGTCAGGGCTAATTTTCAACTTTTAGTAATAGAACAAGAAAAAAGGTTCTTTTTCCTATTTAAAAAAAATGAGAATCTTCCCCAAATTCATAAGGCATAATCCTCCTCTCCTCTTATGACTCAATGGGGAAGAAAAGAGTCCCCTAAGCTGAAGGAGGAACACACATGAACATGGATATTTCTCCTGGAATAAAGCTGTTAGTGTCCAGTTCCCAAGGGCAGATGGAGTTGGTCATTCCAATAACCGAGTCCTCAAGAAAGTGGCTTCACCTCTGTCTCGTTAGAAAAGCCCTGCTCAGTCAGCAAGTGTCTTGTCTGGAGGCAGCCTCTCAGGAACCGCCCCTGGGCGTTACCCCCTGACCAGCCTCACACTTCACTAAACTAGCCAGAT